TCTGCCCCCCCCGCCCCCCCCCCCCCCCAGTTCGGGGGGGGGGGGGGGGGGGGGGGGGGGGCTGAGGCTCAGAGAGGTAAACAGAATCATGGGCCAACTGGGTGGCACAGAGGGGCTCTAGGATGCAGCCGAGAAAGGCCGGGGATCCACTGTCTATGTTCATCAGGCCAGCCCAAGACTCGGTCTATCTCCCTAGGCATCGACTTCCCCCGCTGGGGAGGACCCCTGAGTTTATATTTGGGTGAGAGGCATTTCAGTCTCCATCTCCCCAGCTACTGCTACTGGTTACAAACTCAGGCAGAGAGGAGAAGGGGTGATTTATGACAGCTCCCCAAAACCCAGCAAGCAGAGTCCCGGGTCCCTGTCATAGAAGGGGAAACCAAGGCCCAGAGAGGAGTGGGTACTTGGTCTGGGTGTCAGGCCTGAACCAGGAACCCTGACATGGGTGGGTGGGTTCTGTGGCCCGTGGACCATCCTGGTTCCCCACACTTGCTGTCAATACCTTTCTCTGGCCACGGTCCCAGGCCCTCTGGAAGGACCCCCCAGGTTCACCTCAGTCGTGGCCCAGAAAGGAACTAGGCCTCCTGGTGGCTGGGCACCCCTCCAGGCAGGAAGATGGGGCAGTGGCCCACGCTGGGAGTTAGAACCCCAGGGTTGGGCGAACCCACCAGTCCTCACCCAGGTTCTCCCTGAGGAGCCAGGTCAGCACAGAATCTCGGTAGGGAATGAAATCTGTCTTCTTCTTTTTCTTGTTCTGTGCGGGAGGAACATTCAAGGTCAACCCTGAACTCATGGAGGAGGAGAGGCAAGCACAGGGTGGTCCCCAAAGCCAAGGCTGCCATGGGGGGCAGGGCTGGGCCAGCTCTAAGGCTTCTCCACACCTGGACCCAGGGTGCCCTGCCAGGCACCTCCCCCAGGGCTGGAATCAGCGACTTGCTGCACATCCCTCAGGTCCCTCGCTTGTCATCCCCACCGTGTCTGGGTCGCACAGCGGGACCCGAGCCCAGGCGTGCTGATGTCACGGCTGGTGTATCGCCCTCCTCCCTGTCAGAAGGGCCCATCTGAGCCCCTCCTCAAACACCAGCAGTGGCTCTGCTGACTGAAATAAAAGGCCCCACTGCGAAGTGTGGCATCCGGCCTCCGCCAGCCCCACAGCTTACCGCCCTTCCACACAGCACTCACCCTCCATGTCCATCAAACTTCCCACCTCCCTTCAGAAGCTAGAGTGCAAGCCCTGCTTTCATACCTGTGCCCCTCCCTCCCCTAAAGAAGCACCCTCCACACTGTCTACCCCAGTGGCTCTTTATTCCTCTAGTAAGGCAAATCCACTCAAAATGTGGACTCCAGCCCATATAATGGCTGCGAGAATCACCTCGGTGGACCCGCCATGACTGACATAGTGACTCCACTAATCACTAATATTCAGTTACTTTCCAGTGTTGGCTCTTTTATGTGCACAGCTGCTTAAGAAATATTTGTGGCCCTAGCTGGGTTTCTCGGCCCTTGGACCAAAGGGTCTTGGGTTCAATTCCCGGTCAAGAGCACTGGGTTGCAAGCTCAATCCCTGGCCCCGGTCAGGACATGTGCAGGCGGCAACCAATTGATGTGTCTCCCTCACATCGATGTTTCTCTCTTTCTCTCTGTCTCTATTCCCCACCCCTCCTCCCTTCCTTCCACTCTCTAAAAATCAATGGGAAAATATCCTTGGGAGAGGATTTTTAAAAAATATTTGTGGAGCCCCCATAGTGGCCAACGGGCATGGCCCCTGCCCCCAGAGCCCCTCCCATGGACACCCTGTAAGTGGCCGGGCCATTTCTCTGGGGCCAACACATTCGTCATTGCTTTTTAGGATGATCCCCAAGAGGAGCTCAACAACTCTCAGGGGACAAAGGGTGAAAGCTCTCAAGACACGCTGTCAAAGGGGGTTTCAGGAACGCTGGGCCGGCTCTGTGAGCCGGTTTGAACTCCAAGCCATCAGTACTTGGGGCTTCCTTTCTCCTTTGGAAACTTGGTGGGTGAAAAACTCCATTCCTACTTTTCTTTACTTAATTCCTGAGGCTGAATCTCTGCCACATTTGTCCTTGTTGCCACAGTACATGCCCTACAATCACTCAGTTACTTCGCCTTTGACTTTTGCTGCTCCCTCACCAGTGCCCGTCCACCCACCAGCAGCCCTTGCTCTGCCATGCTCAGCAACTCCCAGAACCACCCACCGCCCTCCCTCACCTCGGCCTTCCCAGCCTGCACCGTCTTATTCCTAGAAGGTCAACACAGTTGTTCGTATGGAAAAAGACATGCAGGTTATGACTATTATGATAGCTTTAGTAACTGTTTCATACTCACAACTATAAACCTACTTTTGCCCACCCCTATAGTCTTCCTTTTCTGTTTCTATTATCTGCCTCCTGCTCTGCCCAGGCCCCAGAAGGCTGTGTTGCTCTCCTAGCTCAGGGCCTAGCTCAGAGTTGGCCGCAATGTGTTTGCTGGTTAAGTGCACAAACGAAGGGGTGAATTCTACTGCCGCAGCCTTCGCGAGGGTAGCCTGAGCTAAGGGCACTGTTTGCTTTTGGGCCCTCCCCATCAAGGACTGAAGACACCTCCCCCCAGAACTGAAGCAAGCAGCTCACCTTATTGGGCCCAGAGTCCTGAAAAGGAAAAGACAGAAAGAGTCTGAGGACCTGGAGCAAGACTGGGGCCCCAGGGTGTGTGAGAAGAGGGGGACGAGCTGGCTCCAGAGGGCAAAGGAGCAGGGAAGGCCTGAGCACGTGCCAGGCGTCCATCACTTGCCGCCCGGCCATCGCTGGCCACCCTGAGCTGGGCCTGAGAGTCAGACCAAACGATAGTGCAGCCTCTCAGGCTGCTGCCCCCCATCAGCCCTTCCCTCCATCAACAATTTCAGAGGTGGGCAGGGTCTCCGGAGATTTGCCCATCCCTGGCTGAAGGCCTGGGTGTCTTAGTGAGTGGGCAATACTGCCTGCCCTGTGGGGCCCATCAAACCCAGTCTCTCACCTCCAAGGGCCATGGGCTCCCTCCTGGAGGATGGCCCGGATGGGGCTAATTGAGGTCAGAGCTGACACAGCCCTGCCCTCCGAGAAGGACGCCCGCCAACAAGCTCACCAAAGCTCATGGTACCCTGCGAAGGGCCCTGGGAGGAATACAGCTCACCCCAATTTTACAGGTGGGGACACTGAGGCTTCAGGAAGTGACTCCATCTGCAGCCTAGTGACACCCCACCCACATCTCTGGGCTTCCCTCGAACCCCTACAGGCTCCCAGCATCCCCCGAGGAAAGCAGGACAGGGCGGCCCCTCCATGGTCTGCCCCATCAGCCTCGTCCTAGAAGCCCGAGCCTGCTCACCATTTCAGCCAGAGCAGAGATGACCTTCCCCAGTGTAGTCAAGGACTTGTTGATATTGGCTCCCTCCTGTGGTGGAGAAGATGGTCGGGACATTAGGAAGCCTCAGGAGCCTGGGGCCTGACCCATGTGGGGTGGGCTGAGACCACCCAGCCAGGACTGTTGACCCTTTAGGCTTTTAGGGGGTATGGGAGCCTCCGACAGGAGGCCGATCAGAGGCCCACCTGGCCGGGCAGGGAGTGCAGTTTGCCCAAGGTTCTCCTGGGCTTCCTAGAAATCCTAGTAACACCCTATAGATGCCCTACCTGGAAACATTTCCAAAGCCCCATCCCATCCATCAGGTAACAGTGGAGACCAAAGCGGGGCTCAGGGAAACAAAAATTCTCTTTCCTGACACTCAAGACTGCCTGACCAGAGGTATCCCCTCAGGACCATGGCCGGCCAGCTCACTGCCCCTCCCACAGCTGCCTCGCAGCCTGTGTTCTTCCGGTGGGAAAGCGCAGACCCCAGTGGCGAGGTGCTGTGGGGCCCACAGAGGTCCCAGCTTTCCTGCCAGGTTGTCTGCCTGCTGGCCTTCTCCCATCTCCTCACCTGTGCCCCCCACTCACCTAGGCTCACCCTTGAGGGTGGTCCCAATACCTCCCTCCAACCCCAAGAAGGGCTGAGCCCTCCTGCCTGGCCCACCCTGGAACAAGCCAGGATTGCAGACTTGACCCCGCCTTTGAGTAGGGTAGCAGGGGACCCGCTGCTCTCCATGGGCGTGGCGGTTGGGCCCCTACCTTGAGCCGCGTGCCCTTCGCGCCTGTGGAGTCAGCCCGCTCGCTCCCAGCCAAGTCCACCAGGCTGATTTTGCTCACCTGAAAAGGCAAATGTGTCAACTGCAGAAGATGCCATGAGGCTGCTATGGGGCACCCTTCCTCCCTGGGCACCGCCTAAAGGGCCCACCCGCGGAGCCACGGCCAAGCCCCACCTGGGGGTCTAAAAGTCTGTGGCCCTGCGTTCCCTCTGCACCTCTGTTCGCAGCTCTTCTGCCACTACCTGAGGTTTGAGGCCACCTCACCTCACAGGCTGCAGGCCCCCCACCCCTGAACACCAGGGTTGCGGCCACACTGTTTTCTGCACACTCGATGCTCTTCACGTGTTTGTTCGTGGACTCCCCACAGCACCCATGAGGTGGGTCCCTCACTATCGCCCATTTCCACAGATGGGAACTTTGCCTGTGCTGGGGTTTAAACCCAGTTCCAGTGCCCAGCCACTGATTGAATTCCTCGTGCCCGGGGCAGGGGCCCCAGTACACTTCCCTGGCCTAGGGCAGGTGGCCACCTGCATTCAGAGGAGGCCAAGGCCCTCTTGAACATGGCTACTGAGGGCAACTCGCCCAGATGTCAACAAGCCCAGACAGCAGTGGGACCCTTCGGTACCCTGCAACCAAGCTGACCCATCCCTGCCCTCCAGGCCCCATTGGGCTGTCATGAGCCTCCAGGAGGCTAGTGCCTGGCCGAGGTGACCCCAGTACCACCAGGTCTAAGTGGTACTATCTTCCCTGACCCTCTGCGGATCCTGGGGTGCTGCCTGAGAGAGCCGGCCCTCCAGGAGGTGGCTGAGGTGCCCTGGGAGAAGGCCTGGACGTGGGGGTGGGGGAGAGGCACAGTCAGAGGGAACCCGGCGCTGTAGGGCACAGCTACTGGTGGACGTGAACAGGCTTGGCACTGGCCCTGCTGCCCCTTTCGGGAGCCCACAGATGTGTGTCGGGATAGAGGCCTCAGAAGAGGACCCCCCTGCCTGGGTCCATGGCGCATGCCAAGGCACGTGGGAAAGGCATCTGGGGCTGTGGGCAGTGGGGCAGGGTGGTGCCTGCTCAGCACAGCCTCTCCTTTGTGCTCGAAGATGCCAGTGCCCACGGTCACCTCTGTGACAGGCACTCACTCAAGCTGAGACCTCCTGGCCTCCACTGCTGCCTCCGCGGGTCGCCCAGGCATCCTGGGCCTGTGGGGCTGTGCTGGGGTGCAGCTCTGGGGACATCTCAGCCCCCAGTCTCCACCAAAACCATCTGGTAGGAGAGTCCATGGCCCCTCCACCCCAAGTTCCTTCCACACCCAGGTGGCATCAAACGCCCAGATGAGGCGGCCTCCCAGGTCTGGCCAACCTCTCACCAAGGGGTGGAAGTGCCTGGTACCCGGTGTGAGGTTGCTGCCCATGCCTCCCAGGCCAGTGTGTGGCTTGGCCTCCTCATCCTGCCTGACCGGCCGGACCCGTCCGCCTGCCTGATGTCACCACCACCAAGGCCACGCTCACTTTCTCTGTGGTGATGTCGGTCTCCGCATCGTGGCGCTTCTGAGTGAAGATGATGTTGAAGACGGCGTGGGAGCGGCTGCTGGTCTCATTCATGTTCGTGGCGGCCACAGTCCTGAGGGGACAGAAGCCACTTGTGGTTACCCGCCCTCCTGTGGTTGGACATTCGGGTCACCGGTGGTGCCAGTCCCCTGGGCCAGGTCATGGGGTGTCAGCTCCCCTGGGTTCTCAGGGCTGCCCCGCTGGTGACCATGCCTCCTGTCAGAGCAACAGGGCCCACACACCCCTGTCCACCATGTCCATCAGGGGACCCTCACCCCCCAGCTCCAGCCTGGTACTTGGGGTGCTGTGACTGGGGGTATATCTCTACTCCCGGGTGCTCAGCAAAGCCAGGTATTGCTCACTCTATAAGCTGGGCAGGAGCCCTCACGGCTGTGATGTGGGAAGCCCCAAAGCCACCGACAGGCAGAGACCTCAGGGAAGTGTCCCCCGATAGGCTCCCTGTCTGACAGCCCACAGCACAAGGGGCCTCGTCAGAACAGGCCCACAAATAGGGGTGGCGGTGACCCACAAAGGGAACCCTAACCCTCCAGGAGTCCCTGGGTGATAAAGAGGGGGACTGTTGTCATGACAACCAGGCAGTGAAGCCCAGGAAGATGGGCTGCTTATGGCCGGCAGTGCCTACAGCTGACACTTCCCCATGGGTTCCTGCCCAGAGCCCTATCCACGGGCCCCATTTACCCTCAGAGCAGGTGGGCCAGACCTCAGTCTCCTGGTCACTGGGCCCAGCAGGCCAGCTGCCTGTAGGGATGACCACCAGGGGCAGCAGCCACAGATGGCGCCGGCACTTCCCCCCGCAGGGTGCACAGCCCACCCCCAGGAGGAGCAGCCCACCTGTAGGTCACAGTGTCCCCCTGTGCAGGGAGCTGCAGGCCCCCAAGGCCCTCACCTCCTCAGGGAAGATGAGAGGTGCCCCAGGGACCAGCCTTCCTCACAGAGACTGGAAGCTGTGGGCACAGTGGGGGTTAGAGGACAGAGAGGGTGGGCGAGTCACCCCACACACCTGGCCTTGTTCCCTGAGTCCATGAGGTCCTGGATGTCATTGTAGGAGGTGACGGCCAGCTTGGAGAGGTCCTCCACGTACGGCCCCAGCAGCGGGTGCTCCCTCACACGCAGGTTGCCCTTGTTCTTGGGGTTCAGGAGGTCGCGGACACGCTCACAGTAGATCTCCATGTAGCTGACCTGCAGGGCAGAGACATTTGTGTGGGGGCCACCATCAGAAAACCCAAAGATAGGTGTGGGGACAGTTATCAGAAATACTCGAGATGGGAGGTGGGGCTGTCGTCAGGGACTCCTGAGGAGGGAGTATTAGGAGATGTGGGGGTCACTACCCAAGAACCCTGAGGAGAGAGTGCAGGGGCCACCATTAGAGACTTTTGGGGTAGGGAGCGTGAACCGCCCACTGGGTAGGGGGAGGTGTGCAAAGGAATCCAAGCCCCTGCATGAGTGTGTGCATTGAGGGTGTCAGCCCATCCCTGCCTGCCTGGCCCTCCCCACCCACAGCCATCCTGGGGCTCACCCTGGGGCCACAGCCACAGTATGGCCCAGGCTATGCAGCTCTGAGGCACCTGTCCCTGTGCCCAGCACAGAGCAGCAGCTCACTGCACACCAGCTGAGCAGAGGACTGCCCCTCACTCCCCTGTGCCCTGCACATCTGTGCCCTGAGTGGGTGTGGTGGCATGGTTGCCACATGTGCAAGCGAGTGACAAGCTAAGGGCACAAACCAGTGATGGGGACTCACTATACACCAGAAAAGCATCGCTATCCATGCCTAGAACCCCAGTCATGCCCGGAGGACCAGAAGCTGGGCGGGGACCCCTACCTCCACGGAGTAGGACATGTTGTCATTGGTCGTGTCATTGATGCGGGAGAACAGGTCCTCGCAAAGCTGTAGAGACCCAAGACATAGTCAGATGATGAAGGCCCTGCCCTCAGGGTGCTATGGGTTGCCTGTGCCCAGGCTAGCCGTTGTTCTCCTGGCCCCTCTCACACCCTCACAGTTCATCTTGAAGGCACTGAGAAGGCCTGCAGGCGAATGAGCTGCTGTCTTCTGCTCAACTCAGTGGTCCCCTCATTGACATCTGACCTTTTCTCACGTATCATCTGCTCACACTGGCCTGCTCCTCCGGCCGTCCTTGTCTGCATGGGGTAGGGGGTCTGCCATGTTACAGACCACCCAGTGTTCTCTGCTGCCCTGACCAGGTCAAGCACTGAGCAGCTCAGATCCAGAAGCCCACCAGGGGGGTGGGCCAGGGTGGGTCCCAGCAGTATCTGAGGCATTTGCATCTCAGCCTTCAGTTAACCTGGGCACCTCTCCCTGCCCAGACCACCAGTCCTCACAGCCCCCAGAGGAGGGTCACTTCCACCAGCGGGTCTCCCAGCTGCCCCTGCTGCTCTGTGTGTCCCTGCCATCACTGGGTCCTGCCACCCCATCGCGTGTGCCCTCCCTGCCCCACATGCCTGTGGGATGATGCCCTGCTGGTCCTTCTCCTGCTTGCCCATCATGGTGTAGGACTTGCCGGCCCCCGTCTGGCCGTAGGCGAAGATGCAGACGTTGTAACCCTCGAAGGCGTGCTGTAGCATCTCCTCGCCGATGTCCTGGTACACCTGCTTCTGCGATGCATAGTTGATGTCCTCGGGCTGCAGGACAAGAGGGGCTGCAGCTGCAGGAGTCGGGGGCGCTGAGGGCTCAGCCCACTACATTCCCAGAGGGCCCACATCATGTCCCGGAACCTCCAGGGCAGGAAGAAATGTGGTCATCGCCTCATTTAGAGAGGAACGTGCAGCTCAGAGAGGCCGAGGGACTGGGTGTTGGCCACACAGCAGGAGGGGCTGAGCGGTGTCCACACAGCTGTGGCCTACCTCCCGTGGACCCCCAGCCCGGGCTTACCGAGGTGTGCGACCAGTAGGAGTAGTCGAAGCTGAAGCTTTTGGGCGTCTCCTTGGGCTGTTTGGGGTTAACGATGGCTGTGGGGAGGGGGACAGGTGTGGTGGTTAACGCTTTGCTGCATCTCCACTGTGTGTCCGGGAGTGCTGGCTGCGCCTCCCCCGCCCCCGCCCCCGCAGGGACACAACTTATTCTCTTCCCATCAGTGCCCTTTCAGGTTCTTTCCAGGTGTGCGCTCATGGCTCTAAGGACTGTCCCCTCACAGGTCCCTCCCTTCTCCCTCACCGAGCTGCACCCCGGCCTGACTGAGGCCTTGCTCGCAAGTCACGGAACATCAGTTCATCAAACTAGGAAGGAAGCCACAAACTCGAGATGAAGCGATCACCCACCCTGGCGGCCGCCAAGTGTGCCAGGAGACCCCTCCCCCCAGTCCAAGGCTGTTTCACCCCAGGTCTGTGAGGCCCAGTCCCCAGCGTTTCCCAGACTCCGAACCCAGCAGGCAGTGGGTCCTCAGTGGCAGGAGGGACCTCGGCCCCAGCCCCGTCAGGCCACCCTGCCTGCTGCCCACTGTCTGAACCCGAAATGTCCATGTTGATAGAGGACCGTTAGACCCCCCAACGTCCCACCCAGCTGGAGGCAGATCCCTCCAGGGGATCCACCAGGAACTCGGACCAGTCCCAGTCATCAAGGCTTCAGGCACCCCTAGGAAGCCACACCCCCACCCCCATGTTTGGGGATGGAGACCATGGTTGCTCACCATCACTGATTCTCCCCAGGGACAACTGTCTGAGGCCCTCACTTTCCTGGGCACGGCACAGCCTTCAAGACCCCACACCCCTGGCCCTACCAGGTGACCTGTCACCAGCATCAAGAGAAGCAGACCCCTCGAATTCATATGTGGAAGTTCTGACCCCCGGACCTCAGAATGACCTTATTTGGAGGTGGGGTCCTTACAGATGTAACTGGTTAAAATGAGGTCATACTGGAGTCAGATGGCCCTAATCCAACATGACTGTTTCCTTATAAAAGGGGACATTTGACACAGACATGCACACAGGGAGCAGGCCATGCAAAAATGGAACAGGGATGCAGCGATGCGGCTACACGCCAGGGACCGCAAGGACTGCAGTGGCCGCCAGGAGCCGGAGAGGCAGGGAGCAGGTTCTCCCTCACAGGCTCTGAGGGAACCCACCTGCCCACACCCAAGCTCGCACTTCCAGCCTCCAGACCTGATGTCCGATCCTCCGTGTGGTACCTTGTAGGGCAGCCCTGGAAAGCCAACACCTCCCCTCAGCCTTGCCAGGCTCCTGCAGCTGCCCCAGGCCCGGTTCCTGGGCAGGCCCCTCGGCCATTTGCCCTGGCTGAATGTCCTGCTCACGGCACGGGCGTCAAATGAGGCCCCATCCCCAGGGCTGACCTGGCTTTGGGCTCCAGACCCCAGGCTTGAGCGCTTCTGGGAGATGACCCAGTGCCCTTGGGAAGCTACAAGAAGGAGAAGGTGACGGACCATCACATCCCTGTCCTCGCAGCCAAGAGGGGGTCACATCCATGCTGCCTCCAGGAGCCAGGCCCAGCGGAGAACAAGCTGCCCTGGCTTCACCTCCTGAGACCTAGGGGCTTGGCCACCACAACCCCAGTGCAGATCATGTGGGCGCCATAGAAACAACAATCACCAGCCCTCTTGACATGGGCAGCCTGGGCTGGGCCTCCACTGGGTCCCCTGGCAGCAAGTGGCCCGGTCCCTGGCTCACCCCACAATGCCTCACCTCCATGACCTCATCTCCTCCCCTCCCTGCCTGTGGGCCAGGTTCCCAGGACAGGCCTGAGCCCCGTCCTGCTCTCCCATCCCTGGCTGGCCCCCACACCGGCTCTCTGAGCAGCCTGGCCCCATCCCCACATCCCCATCCATCCTGCTCTCTTCACCCACATCACACTGGCCCAACCCCAGGCGCTGACCTTGCTCTGATGGAGTCCTGGTGCTAGCATGTTTGTATACACCCACATGGACCATGAGCTCCCTGAGGTGGGAGCCCGCACAGGGCCAGGGCACAGGTGTGCTCAAGGAACTGTGGGTGGGCTGGGACAGCTGACAGACAGGTCAGAGGGAGGGGTACGTGCTAAGGAGAACCTGCCGTGGAGACCACTGGGCAGAGCTGCTCTGGCCCTGGGGACCTGCCCCCACCCCCTGCCGACGGGTCCCCTGGTGTGGCTGACCCCCTGGAGGTCCTGTGGTGTCTGAGAAATGCCCTCTATCATTACAGATTCTGAGGTCAGAGGGGTCGTGCCCTCCCCGGGTCACAGGGCACACAGCCAGACTGGAGCCCAGGGTCCACCCAGACCTGGCTCTCTACTGTCGCCCCTGAGCCCTCACCAGGGTGACCTGCCAAGGCTGGCCGGACAGGCACCCCCCTCAGCCTGCTGCACGCAGAGAGGAACCGTTTTGCTGGAGAACAGCCTTCCCTTGCAGGGCCCCCGGTTCTCCTTGTGTACGTTTGAGGAGAGGAAGGAGAACAGCCCTCCGGGCACGCTGGGCAGGCGGCTCGGGGACAGCTCCCTGAAATGCCCCACGCCCCCCAGCCCTGCCCAGGCTCTGCAGGAGCCAACGAAGGGGGCAGTGCCCCAAGGGTCAAAGACACGAGCTGTGGGGATGCCAGCTTGAGTCGGGAGGCGAGACCAGGAGGAAAGGAGTCAACGGCAGCCACTGTCTGCCTGCATGCCCTGCAGTCTTCAGCTGCACCCCAGGCAGAGATGCCGGCACCTCCAGCACAGCGGTGTCCGGTGCTCGGAACCTGTGCGCCTGTCGGTAAACCCTAGGTGGCCTGAAACTGGCTGTGGGGAGAGTGTTCACAGGACAGAAACTGGCAAACATAGGTGTGTGTGTGTGTGTGTGTGTGTGTGAGCTAAAGAGAGAGATGCGTGCTGTTTTACCAGGTCACTGCCCCAGACTCACAGGATTTAGGAGGAAGCCTAGCTAAAGCAGAGACCAAAACCTCAGCGGGGTTCCAGCAAAGCATTAGCTCAAACCCAGGCACTTGCCTGTCAGCACAGGAGACCCTCCCATCCTCTGATGAGGAAGCCTCCTTTCCATTGATCTAATTTGCCTCACATGCCCCACACACCTCAGCAAGTCCCCCTGCCCTGTCACTGCACCCTACTGACCCTGTGGGGCGGGACCCATGGCACGGGCCGGTCTAGTTCTGTCTCATTGTGCACATGCGTGCATCATCCATCACCCCACCGAGCATCAGCCCGAGGCCAGCGAGTACCCGGTGCCTAGAGTGTGCCCTGTCACTGCACCCTACTGACCCTGTGGGGCGGGGCCTGTGGCACGGGCCGGTCTAGTTCTGTCTCGTGCACATGCGTGCATCATCCATCACCCCATCGAACATCAGCCCGAGGGCAGTGAGTACCCGGTGCCTAGAGTACAGCCTGGCACGAGCTCACGCTCAGCAAATGTCGGCTGATGAGTTTCCCCACCTGTGCTGTAACAGACAGTCCTCATTCCTGTGGGACTACAGGGACAGCAGATGCGGGTCACCACTGTGACCTCTGCCAGTGAAGAGCCCATCTTGACTCTAATGGGTTGGCCTCCAGGGTGAAAGCAGCTCAAGTCCTCTGAGCTGTCCCCGGATGGTTCAATCAGGGAGTGTCAAGGGCATGTCGGCCTGGGGGCAGCCAATGACAGCAAGCCCCGGGCCCTTGGCTTAGCTGCTGTCCCCGGGCCCTTGGCTGAGCTGCTGCCCAGGGTCCTGCCAGTCTCCCACACCATGTGTCTCCAACTCCTCCTCTAATGAAAAGGCCTGCAGAGTGTGGCCACCTGCTCGCCAACAGCCATGCTCCCTTCGGTGCTCTTCCGTGTCCAGTGCAGCTCTATTTGGAGCCTAGAACATTCTAGAACAGTGATGGCAAATGGGGGCTGACTTCTCAGATGAGTTAGGCATTGAGACTGCACAGGTTGACAGAAGCAACTACCAGTGTCCGCATGGGCAAAGAGGGCTTCTGCTCAGGCGGTGAGCTCTGCCCACATCTGCACCCAAGCAGCAACTCACTACAAATGAGTGTGACAATGGAGCCAAGGGGGTCTGGGAGGCATCCTCTCTTCCGCTCCGCAGCCGGACCCTGTGTGCTAAGGACCCCTCAGGGTGTGTCTGCTTTTCTGACTTTCTTGAATTTGCCTCTCTCCTCCCACCTCTTACGCACAATGTTGAATCCAGGCCTCCCACTTCTCGGAAGGTTCTGAGATGATTTACAATTATAAACACAGCAAAAGAACAGAAAAAGGAAAACAATTTATGAACCTGGGGCCACTGAAGCAAGACAAGGAATCAGTAACCATGGGTAGAACAGTGTCCCCTAAAATTCATGTCCCCCCTGAACCTCAGAATGTGGCCTTATTTGGAAACAGGGTCTTTGCAGGTGTGATTAGTTGTCAAGATGAGGTCACAGTGGAGTAGGGTGGGTGTGAAATCCATTGATCGCTGTCCCCATAAGGAGGCCACATGATGACATGGACACACCAGCCCCATCAACACCTTGATTTCGGACTCTGGCCTTCAGAACTGTGAGAGAATGCATTTCTGTTGTTTTCAGCCACACAGTTTGTGGTCATCTGTTACTGCAGCCCCAGGAAACCTACACACCGTGTGGACAAGAAGCAAGAGCGAGCCAGGCCAGATCAGCTGCTACCTCTGGCCAGGAGACAGGACCCATGGCCTAGCACCAGCAGCAGCCAACAATCCATCGCAGCCAATACTCACTGGTGGTGCTTCCGGACATCTGGATGATGCACTTGGAGTCACGGCTCATTTCCCGGGAATTGAAGGGGCGGACGCGCACCGCCACCTTCACTGAGGCCCCAGCCATCTCTGCAACCTTCGTGGGTCACTCCTGGCAGTGGCGAAAGCCCCAGTGAGAACAGGACACACCTTGGGAAAAAGGGAGACGTGAACTGGAAACAATATCTAAAAAGGCAGAAGAGGTGTTTCTGGTTGGCAATTGAACCCACTTCCCACCAAACCCTAAGAGACACCTGCACCGGGTTCCAGCCCACAGGACAGGATTGGAGGGGCAGCTGCAGGGGAGAAACGCCACGAATTTTAGAAAAGGAAGTCAATGGGAGGCGTGAAGCCTAACAAGAAACAGCCACTTTGCTGTGGGACCCAGAAAGGCTCAGGTTCTCCTGAAGGCCAGTGTCTGAGCGACACCAAAAACACACATTTGTGGAAAGTCACCGGAGGGAGCATTAGACCCCGTTGTGGGTTGAACTATGTCCTCCAAATGCACATGTGGAAGCCCTAACCCCCAGGACCTCGGAACGTGGCCTTATTTGGAATTAGGGTCCTTGCCGATGTAACTGGTTAAAATGAGGTCCCACGGGAGTCGGGTGGGCCCCCAACACAATATGACTGGTGTCCTCATAATAAGGAACATTTGGACACAGACACTTGTCCAGTGAAGAAGGAGGCAGAGATGGTAATGCATCCACAAGCCCAGAAACACCAAAGATTGACAGTAGCCACCAGGAGCTGGGGAGCCCTGGGGCCCATTCTCCCTCCAGCCTCAGGAGGAACCAGTCCTGCCGATACCTTGATCTTGGACTTCCAGCCTCCAGACTGTGAGACAACGAATTTTTGTTGTCTAAGATACACCATCGATGGTACTTTGTTACAGCAGCCTTAGCAGACTAATGAAGACCCCCAGACCCCCATCCTGTGAATATCGAAAACCCTGCCCCCCACCAGCACTTCCCCCACCAGGCAGACGCCAGAGGCTCTGTCCAGCCTCAACATAGGGGTCTGAGCACCAGATGAGGGTAAGTGTGAAGCACACACTAAAAAGAGGTGTGAACTGCACCCAAAATGTCCAGCAGTGGGACCCCAGCTGCTCCTGCTGCTGCTGCACGCCCAGGGTGCTGGCTGCCATGGGAGAGTGCAGGGTGCTTAGCTGGGGAAACTGACTGGGACCACACCCTCTAACAAGAAATGCAGAGACTAGAACAAACAAAAAAGGCACACAGCAGAAAGAGACAATACAGGGAAGAGAAGAAAATATTTTTAAATACCTTATAATTAATATCCACAGCAAGAAAAGTCACCCATGAATCAGTGAAGGATGCTGGGGAGTGAGCTGCTGCAGTGCAGCCAAGACTCCACAGGGCCTGCTCTGTGACAATCCCAGTGAGTGTGAAGGTGACCTTTACATCCACCTGAAGGTCACCTTCACTCACACTGAGGAAGCAACTCCCCTTAAGGACACAGGCCTGTGGTGGGCTCTGCGCCGGGTCTGTGCAGTTCGAGAGGACTGTACCTGGGCACTAAAAGCCCACCGGCCAGAGGTGAGTGGACAAAGCAGTGCCCGCAGCAAGACTCGGACCAGACAGGAGGGGAGGCGGGACCAGGTCTTCCCTGTGGAAGTGTCCCAGGCTACGGAGATGGGACTCAGGGAGCAGCAAGGTCTGGGCTTGGTGAGGGGGTCCCACATGACACCCCATCCTTCCCCCTGCAGGGGCATGGCCCTTGGGCACCCACTGCCTGGCCAACAGGTAGGACAGTGCCCGACTGAGGCACCCAGAGAGAACCCTGGGCAGAGGGGCAGGCTGAGGTGGGCAGGCGCTCCTGTTGGTGGCAGCCCTTGTCCTGCACCAGCCTTCACAGGGCCCTTGGCTCCAGTAGGCCTTGAATGCCAGCGAGGGAAGAGTGAGTTTCATCCAGTACAGCAGACTGTGGTCAAGTCCCCACATGCCCAGATCAGGGCAGGGGTAGAGAGGGGAAGCACCTGGGGGGCTCTGGGGAGGTGAGGGGACAGAAGGCACAGTGCCACCCTGGCTCCAGGACAGGGCACAGGGGGCTGTCACTGTGGGCAACAGCGCAGTCACAGGCATGGGGGACGTCCCATGATGCTGGGACCAGTGCAGAGCTTCAAACCCCACCTGGTGGGGAAGGCGATTCATGGGAATCACAAAGGTACGGAAATCCTTTCACCAAAGCTGCCACTGCGGCAGACCAGGCGATACACTGCCTGAGCTCCCCGCTGTCCAGGCTGAGCCTGAAAGGGAATCTTCTGCCTCAGCCTCCCTACCTGTCATAGCGCCCTCAGGAGAATCTGGCCCAGAGACCCCTTCCAGCGGTGCCCCAGCCTCCTCTCTGTGAGGACAGGGTGGGGACCTCTGGCCAAGCCCTCTGGGGGGACACCATCATCAAGAGCAACTAAAGAAGCTGAATAAAAATTTTAAATCTGTTTTGAGGAATCAATGAGCTACTGAAGCCATGCAGAATAGCAGGCCAAGATTCCGGAGACGGGGGACTGCCATTGTAGGAGATGACCTGACATTCCGCAGCACTTTCCCTGGGAGCATATTTGCATTCTGGTCACCAGGCCAGAGGCTGGGAATCTGCAGTCTTCCCAGGCAGAGAGCCGTTGCTGAGGGATGGAGGAACCTGCAGGGCCTTTAGTCAAGAGAAACAAACTTGAGAGGCCAAGATCCCAGGAGAAAGAAGTAGAGAATGAAGCCAAACAAATATCCAGTTCTCCCCTTAAGACACGTGCCAAGCTCAGAAGGTATGAGGGGTAGAAGTTTAAATACTCAAGCAGAAAACCTCTGAAAATCAAGAGTTGTCTCCCATGGTCTCAGGTGCTAAGGAGAAGAGATCAGAGATCAGGATCCAGCGGAGGAGGGGCCCTGGTGATCACACCAGGCCAGATCTGAAAGCCCCGGGAGGCACAGGGCAGAACCATGGGTAAGGTAAGCCGCGTCCAAACTGCAGAGGCGCCCCGACTCAGCCGTCTCTGACTGATTTAGAGACGACCCTCTGCTCTGTTTTCCTGGAAGAGAAGAGGTGTACCACCTGGAACCGCTGCAGTGTTTTAATGGGTGATGTCTGACCTTACAGCAAAAGTTACAAGGCATGAATAGTGACGGGACTATATGATTCAAAACAAATTGGGGGTGAGGGGGAAAGATAAAAACACAAAGAGAAAAAAGAAACATACCTACACATGATCCAGACCCAGGAGCTATCCGAGGACTTTAAAATAACCATGATTTACATGTTCAAAA